GCGGAGAGCCCTCACGGAGCCCCCGCAGCGCCGCGGGGTGGGCGGGGAGCCGGGAGGGCTCCGGTCTCGGGGGAGGCTCCGCACCCGCCGCCGCGCCGCCCGCACGGGCCGGGCAGGGCGGGCGGGAGGCGGCCCCGGGGCCCTGCGGAGGAGCGGGCGGGACATGGCGGCGGGCGTGGGGATGCGCGGCCTCGGCAGGGTACGGGCGGAGGGGAAGGGAAGGGAAGGGAAGGGAAGGGAAGGGAAGGGAAGGGAAGGGAAGGGAAGGGGTGGAGTGTGGGGTCTGGGGTGTGGGGACATAGGACGCGGCACACGGGACGCTGCGGGACCGGGACCGTGACCGGGCGGGGAGGCAGCGTCCGGCAAGTTGTTAAATGGAGCTTTTGGCTTCTCCCCCGCCCGAGCCGGGGCTGGTCGGACACCGGGGCTCGCAGGTGGCTCCCCGATCCCCGGGGATCCGGCTCCTCCGAGCCCCAGGAGCTGCGGGCGGACGGCGCTGCCCTGACTCACCGCGTTCCCTCTGACGGGCTGTGCGCGATGCTCTCCCAGCCCTCTGCTTCCTCTGCAGAGGCTTTAAAATGCTTCTGAGAGAGATTTTTAAAGAATGTTCTGCGCAGCCACTGGAGGAGTTGAATGGGATCCTTTAGGGCTGAGCACTAGATAGGGCTTCATGTTGCTCATGGCATTTCAGCAGTGTCAGAGGTCTCGGGTGCGGTGGTGGATCTGTTGGGGTAGGAGTTGTGTAGCTGCAGAAACCAGCTTTGGTTTCTTTAGTCATGGAGTGGGGGATTCCAAAAATAAGGCTCTGCTGTGGGCTGATGTTTGTGTGTCGCTGCTGACTGGTTTGTTTCACTTTAAAGCAGTCTGGTGCTCTGAAAAGGAAGCTGCAGTCACCACATGGAAACCCACCCGTGAAACGCAAACGTAAATTATCCATAAACACCGTCAGGAAAGGTGCCACGGAGGCTGACAGGAGGGAGGAGGGAAGCTCATCACAAAAAACTGTTCCTAAGAAGCAGCTGAATGACAAACAGAATGAAAGCCAGAAGAACAAACCTTTCATCAAGACATCCAGCCTGTTTAAAAACAACCCAGACATTCCAGAAATTCACAGGTATTTTAGACAAATGGGAGAGAAAAAAACCCTTTGCTATGCCTTGAAATTCATTGTCTTGAATTCTTGTCCTTGCTTGGCAGAGCAGTTTCTTGGTAATGAAATGAAGTTTGTTGCTGATTATGTAGAATGCTGTTGTATCATTTTTAACCCTCCTGTTTGTTTTGGTTTTGTTTCCCCTAACTCAGAAAAGAAGTGCAGCAGGTGCAGGAAAATGTTTTCACTACAGATTCCTTCAGCCAGCTGGACCTCCACCCACATCTGGTGAGTGGCAGGAGGGCTGCATGCCTCAGAAACTTGGGGATTTTGGGTGGGGGGAAGGTCAGAAAGACTTTATTCGTGGTGACCTGGATACTTCACTTGATTTTGCCACTCAGGGTGGTGGTCCATGTCCTGACCTCTTCACTGTTTGCAGCTGTAATACCAGAAAACCACAGAAAACCAGCAGTGGTGTAATTCTGATTAACTAAGAAGTATTTTGAGGAGATGGGAACTTTATGGACCAGTTATGTAGAGAATAAATGTCAGTCTTCTGGGTTTTGTTCTGTCTTAGCAGTACAAGAAGTACCAAAAGGAACAGTTTGACAATAAAACCTTTATTTCTCTTTGCTGTCTCTCTAGATCTCCACAATAAACACTGTCCTAAACATATGCAGCATGACCAGGTAAGCAAATTAATATCAAAACTGTGCAGTTTACCCCTAAAAGCCAATCACCTGTGATTATTTCATTATATTTAATGGGTTTGTGAAGGCCACAGTACCACTGTCCTGTTTGCTGTTGGGACTCCTGCCTTCTAGTTTGGCACTTGAATCATAAACCCATCTGGTTTGATCTGGTGCCTATCCAGTGGCTTTCCTTAGAAATCACCTCAGCTGATGTAGCTGCACAGCAGAGATGAGGAATTTGGGGTAAAGAATTTTGAGACAGTCACTGTGTGTTAAAATCTTGGAATTCTCTCCTGTGTTCTATCTGCAATTCCTGCCCTGCTTTGTTTGTCACCCAGTGTTCAGAAGCAAACCATTCCTGTGCTCCTGCAAGGCAGAGATGCCCTGGTGAGATCTCAGACTGGTTCAGGTCAGTGTTGAGCTGTCACTGTCCTTCCTTAGGGTGTGTTAACTCCATTTATTTAGGTAGATGTTAGTGGGATAGCACCACCCCTCTTTTCCAATTGACCCTTTATTGAATTGCCTGTTAATCTTCCATTCTGAAAACTTTCTACGTAATAGAAACTCTTCCAGACTGTGATTGCAGTTTAAGAATGGTGGGACAAATGGGGCTTTGGTTTGCTGGAGTGCTGTAATTGCCACTTGTTTCTTTTTTTTTTAATGGAAAGTTTTCTTATTTTCTCCCTTCCAAAAAGGTAAAACTCTTGCCTATGGGATTCCACTTGTGCAGTCTTTGCAAGGAATGGAATCCAAAATACAGGTAGGTCCAACAGCACTAAATAAATTTGCTTTTGATACTAAGATGAATAAAAATAAAATCCAGCTCCTGTAGTCATTGCTGTCTCTTTTTCATACAAGCAATCCACGTTCTCCTTTTTTTGTACATGTGACAGATGGGATTTCCCAGTTCTGTTGAGGTGTGGATGGTACAAGATCAGTGTTAGCCACTCCCCATTGCTCCAAGCTGCAGGATAAATTGGAAATGGGCTAAATTATCAGGGGTGGAGAAGGTAGAGAGCAGAAGAAATGGTCTGGAAGAACTGAAAGCAAAGGTTACTGCCATGTCTTTAGGTAATCTTTGGCCTGGAGTGGGATTGGGTAATGCTCCCAGTTTGGATCATACACCAGAAAATGCTGCTGCAGATCTTGTGCATTTTGTGGAAAGAGATCATCCTGACTGAAGGGTTGAAGCATTTCCAGCCCATCCTGGATTGTCATTCCTACCTACAGATTGTTGCTGTGCATCAAGCAGGAGAGCATCCCTGCAGCTCAGGAGCACAGGAGTGAAACAATGTGTGTGCAATAAAATGTTGGCTTTGGCTGTTAGCAGCTTTCCCAGCAGGGGCAAGAAGGCAGTGTAGGATTGATACATGAAAACTTGATTTTATAAAATCAAGGGGGCAGAAATACCCAAAAATGTCATGTACAAAGTTGCACTGAAGCCCTTCAGTGCTGGCTGAGAGCAGGGGGTGTGGAGGGCTCTGCTCAGTGCTGCCTTCTCTCAGAGCCCTGCTCTTGTGTGTTTGCAGCGCAGCGATGGCCCCTACGCGCTCGTGCTCGTCCCAACCAGGGAGGTAGGTGCCTCTTCCTTTCTCCATCTGTCTGAACACTGATCTTTGGGGGTGTAGATGTGGGTCCACCAGAGCTCCCCACATCAGAAAACGCTGTCAGTCCTTTTGCTGAGATCTTGCCCTCACAGAAAGTGTTGTCATTTTTGTTCAGTGCCAAGCAGAGTAAGAAAGGAGTTTCTCAGTTCTCCTCCTGCACTTGGAAATCTTTGTGGAGGCTGGAGGAGCTCTCTGGCTCAGTGCAGACCTCCTACAGGGGGAATGAGTAAAACCAATGAATTCAGCTTTGCATATGTGTAGCTTTATACAAGTATTTCATTTTCAAAGCTGTTTATTCAAATCCATAAGTGAATGCTGAAGCTGGGGCCTCCAAGAGTTGGTTTCTCCATTGAACTCTTCTATTTAATTTATATTATTTGCAACTGCAAAGGCAGTGTCAGAAGAGGTTATCAACCTTTTTTATTTTTGTTTGGTATGTCAAATGATAATAACTTCCATGTGGAGAGTTGATTGCAGGTATCTCATTTGGGGTCCAATATTTTATGCAGCCTGCAGTGCAATATCTCTGCTCTGTTACCTGAAAGGAGAAGGCTCTGAAGCTATTTAAATTTTTACAGCAACAACTTACTGCCTCTTTAGGATGCTATGTGAATACTAAGCATGGAGGAAACTGTGTGTGAGCTCATTTAAAGGGCTGCCATTGAGAGTACTTGGGAAGATAATTTGTGATTACAATTGGTATTACTTTGGAATGGAAGCAATAACCTTCCTTGAGAAAAGAAATGCAGAAAGATCCAGTTGCACAATCACTCTGTGGGTCAGGTGAGGAACAGTGAGGACTGCCAGAAGAGAATTGACTTGTGTTTCCTTTTCATGGTGGTTTTTTTCCCAGAATTTCTATAATTTTCTCTTTTATTCTTCCTCTGGAGCAAAATCATCTGTGCCTGTAGCTTGTTTTCTCCTCAGGGCATTCACAGAAGCCAGCAGAAGTCTCTCTTGTCCTGAGAGCTGGCTCATGGAGCTGAGCCAGTAGAGAGATTTTTGAGCAGGTCAAAATACAATAAAAGAGAGATTATTCAAGAGGAAAAAAATTAATAAGCAGAAAAGAAAAACTAAGGATGCATTTAGAATTCTGATAAACATAACTAGATTAATTTACAGATTTTTGTGCCATAAGGATTTGTAATCCAGCTTTTCAGTCCAGAGAGACTTTGTCAGAGCTCATTTTCTTTTGTTGATTTCCATAGCTTGCACTTCAAAGTTTTGATACAATCCAGAAACTACTTA